ATCCATATGAAAAGACACATCTTTTCATCTACATTCTCTAGAATATTCCACAATATTCTACACAATTCCAATAATTTCAAGTATTAAGTGGTTTAAGTTTGGCTTAATTTCTCATTCACCAAACAAGGAATTTCCACTTAAATCATTTCAATTGGTCACAGCCAATTTCCAATACAAAATTCCAACAATTAGAACTTCATGGTAAACTATTCAAAATGGTCAAGAACTGCGAAATTAATTAATTTTGAACAGAGTTCATGACTCAAATAGTCTGGTAGTTCGCGGACAACTGAAACCAATTCTGTTGAACTATCAGACAATAATTAATTATGAATATTAATTAATTCTCAGATTGTTAAAACCAATTCCATTGAACCATCGGACAATAATGAATTATGAACATTAATTATTGTAATGAATAATTACCTAAATTTAAACTTTCAATACTTCTAGTAAAACTACAAAACCAAAATGGCTGAAGTACTCAAAATGACTATCCTAGCACTAGCAGTAGAGCTAATTTCCATCGAAGTTCTTCAAGAATTAACCAAACCCAAAATCAGGTTCCAGTTCCACACAATGGAGAAAACGACCGTTAGTTTCAAGGCCTTCCAAATGAAATTGTACAATGCAAACACGCCTTCAACGAAGATGTTTCTTCTCGGGGAGTTCTTGTAAACAAAATGACTACCTTGTCTTCTTCTATCGCCATCGAAGGCATGTTGCCTGTGGAAAACCTTCAAAAATCCACAATCAGGATGATCTTCGATCATCAGATAAAGATGCAAGAACAGATAAAAATTCTTTAGATGGAAAGGATCCGTTAATCAGATAGAATCCATGACTACAGTTTCTACTAATTGCTCATATTCTAGTACTAATGTTTGCACAACCCAAAACAACGATAATCAATCATGAGCAGGAGACTAGACATGACATTGCCAATACTATTATTGTTCAGATTAATACAGTATAGTATAATCCAATTCACCTTGCCAATCATGTCATTAAAAAGTGACTTTCTTAATGTTTGCACTACATTTTCTATTTTCATTCTGTACTGAGCGGTCACAGCCCATGCTAAAATCCTCCTGCTGCTAGCAAGTTCAAATCCTTATCTCATTAGAACTTGATTACATCTGTGCTAAGGACTTTTGAGCTTGAACCAGTTAGAATTTCAATTGCATTTGATTTCAATAAATGAAGAAAATTTAAATATAAATCACATCTGCATAAC